CTCTCTCAAAGAGAACAATACAAATTTTGCAAACTTACAAGAAAATCCTCATAAGAAAATATGTTTGTACAATTCTAGAACAAAGAAAGAACACTCAAGAATAATACAATTGAGTACAATAAGTGTTCTTGAAAGCAAAGATGAATATTGAATGAAATATGCTTGAAAATGCTCAAACTTGAGGCTTGTTGTTTTCTCTTTGATTCTCTCTTGATTTTTGTTTCTTATTATTGATCAACAGCTTCTAAGCTTATTTAAATACTCCTTCAATTAATTCTGAAAGTTGAGGATCATTAGTGGAGTCAATAGAGTCGTTATTGTGTGAAAACAATTAATAAAACAGCTTGGAGCATGGGGAATCGGTACCCCCTCATAGGGCATCAGTTCATGCAGTGTAAAATTCAAATATTTCAACCGTTATGAGATAAGGGGAATCGGTACCTCCTGGGGGGATCGGTACCCTCCGAGTAATCTGTTATTTTACGGAGCTAAAACTTTTCAGGGGGTATCGGTTCCTTCCTTGGGGGAATCGGTACCCTATGAGTAAACTGTAATTTTTGGCTTGAAAGACTCGAAATACTTTAAAAAATATTTCAAAAATATTTTAAGATTGAAACCTAATTTTTGAGTAAGAATTAAAATTAAAATTTTGAAAAGCTTGGAGTAATATTTTGATATTCGAATAGTTGTATCAAATATACTTAGAAAATCATTCGTAAAATCTTAAAATTCATTTAACTTAATTTGTTATGTCGAAACATGAAAATGTTTTTAACATGCTTCAATGAACCTGGTCGTAGACAAAATCTCTTCTTCATGTATTCTCAATATTTTGAGTCATACAAAATCCGGGAGGAACGAATCTCATCTCTTCAAGCTATGTTAGAAATATATTTTAGATATCTTCCTATCATACGAGAATGGAAATTTGATAAACTTTTTGAACTCGAACCGATAGTTTATCATCAGCTTGTTCAAATATTCTATTCCAATGCCATTTGTCTCCAAAACCGGGATAAAACTGAAACCATAGGAGTTAGATCCTACCTTTTAGAAAAATTCATCTATATTGACCCGGAATACATAGCTCATGAATTTGGATTAGATAATGATGGCTTAGACAATAAAAAAAATAGTAGGTACTCCTTATAAAAGAAAGGAGAGTGCGAGTGTATTAGATCTCCATGATCATTTTCTTCATCTGATGATCTCTTGGTAGTTTCGACCATCCAGAGGAAAATACTCCACTCATAGAGCCATAGATCTTTGGTGGATACGTTGTATCCAAAACAATAATAAAATAAACCTACCTCAGATTATCTTTTCTGAAATTGTTGAAATCGTAAACCTTGTTCCTAGTAAGAAACTTTGTACATCTCTAGTTTACGGTTGTCTTCTTAGTAATTTGTTTACCAAAGCCGAGCTTAGGGTAAGTCTTGATGCTGTAATCCCTCTCAAAAATAAAATTAACCTCTTTTCCTTAACAAAATTGGGATGGATAAAGGATAAGCAAACCAGGCAATGGGTTCGATATGCTGAGCATACACCGGGAACTAGTTCTTCAAGAGCTCCACCGGTACCGGGAGCGAACGATGATCCTGAACTTTAACAGCTAATGGAAGACATTGGCGAAGTTCTCGACGATGAGCTAGAGGAACACAAGGAACAAGCACAACAAGATGATCAAATGCCTCCATATTTTCGATATTTTATGGAGACATTCGACTTTCGGTATGCATCAATGGATTCACGGTTTACATCCATGGAGTCCTATTTATCTGCTATGTGGACGCAATAATTGGAGAATCAACAAGAGATTCGGCTAGTCGTGAAGCAATGGATAATCGTTTCAATGTTATAGATGATAAACTCGATGCTCTTACACGAGATGTGGCCAATAAATGGACACATCTTTCTCCTCCTGATCCTCCAATGGAGTAGACCTTGCCTTGTTCTTGTTTTCCTGAGTTTAACTTAGAACTTATTATTTTAAACATTTTGGATGTTTGTGAATGCTTGAATTTATGGATGTTTAGATTTGTTTTGAATGTTTTGGATGATTTGAACTTATCTATATATGTGGATTTGCTTAAATTTTCATTTTGTGCATCATTTACATCATTTTAGATATATGACCAATTTTTTCATTTCACATTCGTTTATGAATATTGAATTATAAAACTAATGGATAATTTTTCTCTTGCTTGTGATCTTAGCAGCTTAATCTATATTTACAAAAATCAATTGGCTAAGTTTTTTTTTCAAAAACATTGTTTAAAAACGTTTTAGAGTCTTCTTTTTTATTTAACAAAAAGGGGGATAAATGTTAGAGTAAGGGGGAGTAAGTAAATTCAAAATTGAAATTGATTTAAAAAATTATTTTCATAGAAAATCTTAAAAATTACTCAAAAGTTTTGTTATATAAAAAATGGGGAGATTGTTGAAAACATTTTGATGTTTCGATATAACAAATTAAATGTTATTGGATTTCAAGATTTTCTAAATCATTTTCAAATATATATTCGATCAAACTATTCGAATATCAAAATATTACTTCAAGTTTTTTCAAGTGTCAATTTCAATCCTTACTCAAGTGTGTTTTAATCTTTTAAACAAATTTACAAAGTATTTCGACCCTTAATCGAGTCAAAAATATTTTCTTAATAAAACCTTAACCTTAAAAGGCAGATTGCCCAGAGGGTACCGATACCCCCCAGAGGGTACAAATACCCCCTGTAAGATTTGACTCCGAGAAATAACAGATTGCTCTGAGGGTACCGATACCCCCCAAGAGGGTATTGATACCCCCTTGTAAGATTTGGCTCCGAGAAATAACAGATTGCTCGGAGGGTACTGATACCCCCAGGAGGTACTGATACCCCCCATCTATAACGGTCGAAATATTTGAATTTTACACAGCATGGTATCGATTCCCTATGCATGGGTACAGATACCCCCCGACGCTCCAAGCTGTTTTATTAATTATTTTCACACACTAACGGCTCTATTAACTCCACTAATGATCCCCCAACGTTCAGAAATAATCCAAGGAGTATTTAAACAAGCTTAGAAGCCATTGATTAATAACAAGAAACAACTATCATCAAGAATCAAGAGAGAATCAAAGAGAAAGCATCAAACCTCAAGTTTGAGCATTTTTCAAGTCTATTTCATTCAATATTCATTTTTTGCTTTTAATAACACTTATTGTGCTCAGTTGTATTATTCTTGAGTGTTCTTTCTTTGTTCTATAATTGTGCAAACATCTTTCCTTGTGAGGATTTTCTTGTAAGTTTGCAAAATTTGTATTGTTCTCTTTGGCAGAGAGTGTTCTCAAGAATTTGGGGTATAATTCTTGAGGGATTTGTAAGGTTACTCTTTGTCCTCAAAAGAAAGACAAATTAGTGAATTTGTGGAAAATCCTTAGTGTGGATAGCTAAGTTAGTGGATGTAGACTTTGGTTGAGAAAGTCGAACAACTCTAAATCGTTGTGTAAATATTTTCAATTTTCTGCAAAATTTTCCACCTAATTTTTTATTGTCAATTCATCCCCTCTTGGCCTATTCCATCGATCGATTAACTCAACAAATAATATATATAAAAGTTTACTTAAATCATTATATATTTTTGTGTGCGATAAATTTTAATAAATAAAACATCAATATAGATGACAACATCATATTGGTCTCACTACAACCACTAAAACTCAGTCCTCTACTCATCATGAAACTGTATCGTCGTGAAAAACGTCGCGAAATGTCGCCATATTTTTAGGTGTTTCGTTTATGTTTTTCACTAATTTCGACAATTGCAACTGTCTGTCCGTTACACGGTCGTCAACGGTGTATTCCTTATCATGCTTCGAACAAAACGTTATCGATGGTGACCGTTCACCATTAGAGGTGTGGTGACGAGAGGCATAGAGATGGCGAGGGGGAATGGGGTTTTTTATTATTTTTTCTCTGTTATTTAAAAAAATATTTTATTATTACAAATAAAAAAATTAAAAAATATAACAGTATGCATCTATAAGTGTAACAAAGAAAACATTAGAAATCTATTTTTAAATTAAATTTTTTATGCACCAAATCATATTTCGAGATATAACTTATGTACTTATTTTTCTATTAAGCATTGTTTTTTTTATCTTTGATAAGAGACAACATTAATTTTAGTGTTGATCACTATAATTAATATTTCTTATTTTTTCTTTACTTTCTTATATCATATATTTATTTTCTTTTGTTTTTAAATTTTTTAATAATTTTATTTTTATGACATGTTTTTTTTTCTTTTAACACATTCTATAATACTCCATAATTTTGAAAGTTTATTGGTCAAAGTGGAAACTTAGGAAAAATTCAAGGACCAAAGTGAGAGTTTCCCCCCAAAAAAAATTTATTCTATATGAATAGTTCTCTAATAAAGTTTATATGGAATTCAGAGAATATTGTGAAAAATGTTATTAAGTGATAAAGTTCGGTAAAGTATTCGGATAATCGGATTGAATCAGAAGTTAACAAAAAATTGATGGATGATAGTATGAGGTTAGTAATATTATATATATATATATATTAATCAATAGAATTTAACACGAATCAATAGATTTAAGTGGATTTTTCATGTTAAAGTAAAATAGTAGAATTGAAATGACTAAATTGAAATTTTAAAAAATTAAAAGGGAAAATATGAAAATCAATAAATATGATTTTTATATTTATTTAATGTTATGAAAATGGTGATGAAAGAATGGCATGATAGATTTAAGTGGATTTTTTATATAAAAATTTGTTTATGGATACAATTGTAACTCCAAAAAAAATGCGCCTTCGTTTCTTGTATATTTGAGATAGTATAGGGATAAAAGTGAAATTATCCAAAACGTCAACAAACAAATTCAATGCTGAGTGTATAAAATAATTTGGGGGTGAGAAAAATTAGAAACGGAATTTTGATTCGCAGATTCGAAATCGTTAAATCCGAAGAAATTGCAGCGAAGAATGGGAAAGTTAAGTCAAATTGTGGTTGCGGTGGCGATTCTGGCGGTCGGCCTCCTTTCGGCCCCAGCCACCGCAAGACCCTGCAAGACCTTCTTCGTCACCTCCTATTATTTCTCCTTTGAAAACCCTAACGATCCTTTCTCCTCCCCCGGTTCCGCCGGATTCGTCACCGTCGTCACCGAGATCAGTCAATTGAGTCTCAAACCATTCGTTCCCAAGCCGTCCGGCGTCTTCACCTCGCTCCGCGAGCGCAGTAGGGACATTCTCAGCGTGGTCGTCGCCCTTCTCTTCGGCGTCGGCTGCGGCGCTCTCACGGGGGCCACCCTTTACTTGGTATGGTCACTCTTCTCGACCCGTTCTTTTTTGGAGGAAGATGAGAGCGATGGAGAACTTAGCCCTAAGAAGATTGGGTATGTAAATATCCCCACCATTAACGTTAAGGAAACCCCTTGATCAGATTATGTATGTTGAAATCTTTAATATGAACAAGAATCGTTTGTTAATTGTTGTGTACTTGAGTAAAACTCATATCTATGATATTTATTTGAAGCCTTTGGGATAACATGTAATCTAAATACTATTACTGTATGACTCCTTCGGATGCTGTATTACGCTTGCTTTGTTATAATGTTTTTTTCATTTTCTATAGATTCATTTTAATTGTTTTTTTAATGCAAAACAAAATGAAACATAGATGAAATTACCCTTTGAATTGGTGATATATGTGGTAGTTGACAGGGATTTAAATAGTGATTCGCTATTGGAATAGCTGCTTATATAGCAGTTTTGGTGCCTTAGACTGCAATTTAGATCCTTATTAGTTGATGCAGCGGTTGTTCATTTTTCCGGCGGCAGTATGTGTTTGCTTGGCAATAATAACATCTACATTGTTATCATGTGATTGTTGGTTTTGCATTGCAGTCTTTTGGAAAGCCCTAATTCAGCTTTTAAGGTTATTATTATTGCTCTCTAATTTTCCTTTTTTTATTTGATTGTACTCCTTCCTTTGTACCTATTGTGTTATGATTATGAAATGTATAACTGTTAGTTTTTGTATGTTAATCTTGTATTCCTTTCATTTGATTCCTGGCAATGATTTGTTGGATTCATCGGCCGCTACCATCCACACTTCCTGGCATACCATTGTCTAGTAGATGAAACATAAGAAGCTGCTACTGATATGTTGGGTAGATTTTGGTGGTGCACAAGGACGGAGTCGGGATCAATTACGGGGAGACCTATTAAGCATTCAATTAATGGACCAAAACAGCCATTGGACCGGGATTTTCCCCCGTCCCTGGCGGTTCACCTGGTTTACTCTAGAGTCCTGATTTATGAATCTTTTTTTTTCATTTATATTTCAGCTTAACCTGTTTCGGTAGGCACTAATTAACATTTATCTTTAAAAGATAATAGCTTAAAGGTTACTTTGCCAATTTTATTTTCGCAAACCTTAAGTTCTGTTGTATATTCAATGAAAAAGTATGGGAGCTTAATATCATTTGTTTGTACTTGGAATTGATTCATCACCTCACCCTCTTCTAGGTTGACTCTTTGAGGAGGCTTACTTTTCTGATCGAGAACATGACTCGACCGGTGGTCTTTAGCGTGGTCTTCGATCTAGGAAACAATTTTTCATGTCAGAGTTACCTTAATGGATGGTTTAGGTAATGACATGTAGTTAGCATCTAAGTATCAGCCAATTATTTCTGGTTCATGGCTTTTCTTAATCTCGTTCTCGTTGATTGATGGTGTATTTGCTCTCACTATCTCGTACATTGAGAAAATGAGAGATAATGTTAGGATATCTAGGGTTATTGTTTCAAGCTTTTGATATTCCAAGAGTGAATCGAAATTTTGACTTTAAGTTTGTTGTTTGGTTTGCTTGTTTTCGATTTTTGCATGTAGACTTACCTGATTTTGTCCATTTTTTTTTATTAATTTGGGATAAGTACATGACATTATTTGTTCAAAGATAACTCACATCCATGGTGCTCGAACCTGAGACATCAATGAATAATAACAATTCATTTACCATCGATGTCGCTTGGCTCGTGTAAGATCTTGTCCCGTTAGTTTACCAATTAGGGTGTTTCTTTTAGAATTTCCCCATGTATGTCTCCCTGCATCATCTTTGAATTTTACAAAATCAGCCGGTGGTTATGAGTTATGACCCATTTTGCCGGCAGCATGCATGTACCAAATCCTCAAATGTTGGTGATAGTTTTAGGGTTCTTGAGAATTTTTCCTTTTCGTAGGAGGCTATCAGAATTAATATTTAACATATTTTGGGGTGAGATTCCATTATAATTTTCAACGTATTATTACTTGACGCTATATATAAACATAGTCCTCTAGCTGTACTAAAAAATCATGAACATTATTTATAATTTGAATCATAAATTAAATTTCTAATTAGAAGTCAAGATGAAACAAACACTAATTCTTACAACTTGAAATAGCTCTTCATGAATAAGGATTTTGTTTTAAAAAAAAAGTTTCACATGACTGATTAAGAGGTTTATTTGAATTTTTTAACAATTAGATGAATATATTTTACAAATAAATCTAAAATGAAGTGATGGAAAAAAAAGGTAAAACACGGCATAATATCCTATTAATTATTTAAGAAAGTAAACCTAGTCAAAATATATATAAATGTATTACTTTAGATACGAGTGCATCAACAAAACATAAATATATAAAATTGTAAATTCATTACTTGTTTGTGCATTTATATTATGTTTGTCTGATTTTGTGGGGTTTAAAAGGAGAAGGGATAGAAGTAATATTCTGTCCTTAATTTCGATAATTTTTTCAACTTGATCCTTAGAATTTTTTGTCCACTTTAGTTTTGGAATTTTGTAGCTTTTCACTTTAGCTTTGAAAGGTGTAGCTTTTAGATTTGGATTACTGGAACCTAAAATTTAAAATAAATCTAAAATCAGAAAAAATAAGAAATTAGATGATGACGTGTCATAATCTTAGAAAGTATTTAATATGGATAAGTATAAGGCAATATTTGTTCAAATATAGCTCTCAACCTCTTGACATTGTACGCTTATAATCTTAACATTTTTGGTGTTCGCATCCAGATCCTTAAGGAATAACAACAATTCTTTTATTACGAAAGTCACTTAAGTAGTGCAAACAATCGTAGGCTTGGAGGAAGAATATGTTGTTAGACCAATACGAGCCAGGGACCAAGGTGCTACAAAATCTTAAAGAAATCTAAGTTGGGCCAAACTAAAAAAGAAAAAAGAAAAAGAAAGTTACTAAACTTTGAGTTTAGAAAAAGTCTACACCACTTATTGAGAAAAAAGTCATCAAGTTTAGAAATTAAATATTAATTTGTTCCAATCGAAATTACAGCACGATGCTGCGAAGCTTCTGCGTCAACACCACTTGTTAAGAAAAAAGAGGCCGAATGGAACCCATTGCTTTATTCTAATTCAATACTTTGTCCATCAATGTTCAAATTGATAAAAAGAAGTGTATATATTTCATTTTGCTTTCTGCAAAACCTTTTTTAAAATCCAAGTTGGGAGGGTAAGAGTTGATGTTACTTGATCTTGATTAAAGTTATTTAGGATTTTATGAGTTTTAAATTAAATTTTACAAATTTTAAAATATTTTTTAGAAAATTTAAATTGGTAGAATAATAGAAGACGATAAAATAAATTTATCATTGTCTTGAGACACTATCGTTCAAGAATTGCAACGAAAGTAAAAAGAGATCGAAGAAAAACTAATCATGGATTCACTTAAACCATAGTAATACATGATAAGGTTAAGGAAGCTAAAAAACAAAATCAGATGCAAGTAATGAAAAGAACCATATCAAAACATACATAAGAAGTGTTTCAGCTTTTAACACATACGAAATCATCTTAGCATTGTTGAGGTCACACAGTGAGGGGCCAATTTTTGGTGTCGAGAGTAAAAGCAGAAGACGAGGAAAAATCAACCTCTAAGTAGATTTATACCGAATGAAATAGTGCAAACCTTGAGGCCCAGCAATGCCAAAAACCCATATTTCCTGCACATAATTGTTCATTCACAAGTCAAGTTCCAATAGGGCTAAAACTGCAGCAAACCTCACTTATTGGCAAAAAGGCATAGGAGGTATTTGTACTTATGGGAAAAAAATCAATGTGTCATTTGTATTATTTTTCTCTTAATGTGACATTCCAACTCAGAAAATAAACTTAATGTGGTCATTTAACCAATGTTTTTCGTTTTTTGATTATTACGGTGCTGACGTGACAATTCATGATGTTGACGTGACAATCCATGATGATTAATAACTTAATGGATAACATGACAGATGAACTAAATCGATAACTTAAACATGGCAAATGGACTATAACGTTAATACCGTTAACTGTTACGTCAGCACAATAACGATCCAACAATAAAAAACGTTGGTTTTGTTTTCTGAATTAGAGGGTCACATTGATAGAAAAATAATACGAGACACATTGATTATTTCCCCCAACAGTACAGGTACCTTGGGTGTGTTTTTGTCTAACTTATTCTAAATTGGAAATTGAAATCGTTGTAAATAGAATTAAAGGAAACCATTTTTCGAACACAAAACTGTTCATGTGATAAACCCATTTATGAGATCTACGGAGAACGAATACTGCATAAATCCGTTACATCAACCAATCTCCCAATTCAGTTTCTCTATTTAGAAAGTTTGAGTTTGCACACTTCCTCCGTAAGATTCGAACCCTAACCTTATTCAAGTGTTTAAGGACTCATTCCGCTACACTAATTATAAGAGAACTAGTTTTCAAAAGAAAACTATTCCTTAACACAAAACTGTTCATATGAATCTAGAGTGAATACTGACGAGCAGAGATTTAAATAGAGATCCACTATTAGATTAGCGACCATTATACGAAACCTGCAATAACCGCAATAACATTACTATTGTCACAATCGCTGTAAATGTAACGCAATCAAAAAAACACGACTGTTTTTTAAATCCCTGCTGGCGAGTTCTATTACATGGACATCATCTCGGTCTTTTTTTCCATTTCCATTTAAAAGGTTAGAATTTAAACACTTCCCTTCCTAAGATTCAATCCCTAATTTTAATTAAAGAAACCTAAGTTACACTAATGATAAAATATACTCCCAAACTAGCATTTAATTTCAATGATTAAGCTGATAAAAGTCCAAAACTGACACAGTAATTAACCATTATGAAAAACGAAAATACAAAAAGAAGAAAAATAGAAAAATACCCGACAGTGAGACGTTTCTGAGGGTCACCGGAGGAATATCCGGTGAAGTACGGTGTACAAAACTCCGAGCGCGGCGCAGATGCAAGGATGAGCCATCCCTCCCAAAACCATCAGTATGAAGAACATCGGCATAATATCCAGCGAGTTCTGGTGCCGTCTCTGCAAACGGAATCCGATCCGAATCGATTATAATTCTTT